GCAGAACAGCTTTCTGTCCTCCTTCCTTCAAGGAAGGTGCGACGGCATGCAAAGCGACCACCCTCTGGTGCGCATAGACTCACAAAGTTTGTGACAGTTTGCCGAAACAAATTCTTGCAAGTCTACGAACTGGGTTTAAATCTTACAAGACTATAATAAGACTTATAATTTATATAGATTACCCAGTCTTACTATCTATATAAGTCTTACAAGTCTGGGTCCCTGGGTCCCTGGGTCCTTCCCTGAAACCCACGTGATTGAAACGCTGCATAACGGTGTTGTTGCCTTTCCTTTTTTCTGCTTTCTCAGCAAAACTAAGAACACATACCAGCACCTTCCGTTTGGGGTCTCCAATCAATAGACTACCCTAAACTGCTTGTGCTCCACTGAGCACCCTTAGAAGGTAGTTAAGGTACAAATATAGTAAAATATATGGTTTTGGAGGCATATTCTGTACAAACGGTGCTTTTTTGGATAGGCACTCCATGAGAATCATGTCTGACGATCACCCTGAAGTCCTGGCAAACTTGGATGCAACCCTGATGTCAAGAGTTCAGCAACCTTCTTGAAACTGTGGAAGAGATATTCTATAGGTCAGTGATTGTTTCTGTGGTAGTCTGTTTTATTGATAGAGGCAGTGAGAAAACAAAGCAGAAAGGACCCAGCTCCAGCGACAAACGCATCTAGTTGGACCTTGAAATTCCGTGAACATGGCTAATCTGTACGTGCGGTAAAGGACATCAAAAAGGTGGTATCGGTATCGTATTTTGTTCCCGACCCAATCTTTTTCGAAGGCTTGTGTTGACTTTGGGAATCAGCACTCCAAACATGAAGGCCTATAGCTGCGCACCCACAGTGGCTGCTTCTTTTTGTACTGATTGACAGAGTCCCACATGTGACACAAAGCGTTCTATGGCTTAATTTTCCTTGCGTCTGAGACCCATGTTTGGAACACATGTGGACCTCTGGCCTTGTAGCACTAAAAAGTGCTCATATATGGATCAGAATCGTTTTGGGTATCGTTTGTGACGCTGTGGTTTGTCTGCGCCACTAAAATGCGGTTGTGATGCAACAAAAAAAACAACATCTAAGGGAGTGCAAAGGATATTTGTCTCAAATTAATCAACATCAGGTATTGTCTTTTGTTTCTACAACCTATCATTCTTGAGGTTATCTATGATTATCCTTACTACCAAGACTAGCATGTTCAAAAATGATGTCCAGCCTCCTTTAAGCTACATAAGGACAGGTTTTGATAGGTGCTCATATATAGAATCCCTAGCCTTCCGTTCGACCATTCCAAAAATGGTTGACAAATGCGCTAGTCGTCGTCATGTAGTAAAACAGCTCGGTTGTTCGGGATTCAACCTATTAAATCCATGGTGGGCCAGGAAGCCAACGGGGAATGTGAATGATCGGATGCGACCGGGCAGCGATCGGGTGCGTGTCGGTGCGATCGGCGCGGAAGGAGGACAAAAAACGCGTGCACGGAGACGAAGGCTGAAAGGTACGAAAACCAATGACTGCTATCGTGTGAAACGAACACTTAAACTATCGTGTGGAGCAGGATAGTCTTGGCCTCTACATGCCTCAACCATAGACGTTCACGAGGCTTGGGATTCTAAAAACTAGGGAAACAAACGCATGCAAAGGCCCTTGAGCTCCAGTAGCCAAGCATGCAAAATATGAAAGGGCGAGGCAACAAGGCGCCTGGCAAAAAAGAGCACGAACCGCAAAAGAAGTGAAGCCCTCAGCCGACTCCAAGAAAACCCTAACATCCCTAGAGAGAAGTGCAAAACCATGCATGTTATGGGCCGTGACAACATCCATCGTTTCCCTACGTAGGTGGCATCTTGTGCCCAAGTGGGAGCGGTCTCCGGAAGTTGCCGAACTGCATGAAGTCAAACTTGGACTCTCCATCTGTGATTTTTTTCATACACCCCCTCCAAACTAACAGCAACTGTGAAAATTGACCCCTGTAAAACTAGTCTCACCTACCACCAAGTGGTTTTCAGGGTCTGTGTAATCTGCAGGAGGGGATAGGAACCTTTTCCAGCTTCTTCAGTTCGTGACCGATCGAAGTCAAAAAATCATCTCAAATAGCTTTGAAGAAGCAGGAACACTTTCTCTTTCTTATTTGTGGCACATTCATTGTCCCCACCGGGTGAAAAGAAGCAAACATGTCTCCAAAAGAGCTCAGGTGGATGTGTCTACGCAATTAATATGTATCTCCAATTTTTTGAATGTTTAGGTTCTGAAGGCTGTATGGTTAGAATGCTCTTTTCACACATCTGGCTGAACAATGTCCTTCGTCGAAGTCTGAAGAGTGGTGAGCCCTTCTTCCATTTCTTCACTCAACATGTAATTGTACACCAGGACGTTCAAAGTTGCCTTTTGAGATCCTAGGATGAGGTCCCTTATGCCTGTAAATTGTCACTTAATCACAACAAGGAGGTTACATTGAAGGTCCTGATATGCAATGATAATTATATATATATATATTTGCTGGAAGGGACTCAACAGCTGCACTCCCAGCTGTCTGCACTTCTTCGTGCCTGTCTTGCAACTCTTCAAACCACTCCGTCTCCTGCCGACCGGTGGCACTCCGTGCGGTTCGTGGGAGAAAAGGGGCGTAGCGGGCAAGATGCAAACAAACATATTGAATAACCCAAATACACCATGGGACTGGAAGGTCCGCCTATCTAGAATCTAGAACCTGAGTGACATCTATTTTGGATCACCAACCACCCAAAATATGGTTGTCCCCTATTAAACAGAGGTCAATTAGGCTCTATAGGTATATACATTGACCAATATGACCAATAAAACACACCCCAATTCCAGGCAAACATGGCCGACTTCCGAAAGTGTTTCACTGCCCTCGATGTCGAAAGTCGGAACTCGGGGTCTCCCAAAACGCTGCGTGCCCTGTGTCTTGCCCTTCACCCAGGTCTCTAGGCTTGGCTCCGAGTCTCCTGTGGAAACTTCTTGAAGGCGCTCATAATCGATGCCCCTTGGATCCGCGCGCAGTGCACGTACCTGGCGGTCGTGGCGTTTTTTGGGCTGTGCCAAGGGGGGCGGACGAGCCGAAGACTTCAGGATTCGGGACGACCATCCGTCAACGCAACCCATGAAGTCTTCGGCTCCTTCCAACTTCGGACCCCTGAACCTTGATCGCTCGCACGCTCAGGGGTCCGAATCCTTCCTGCGGAAAAGGCCACATGGAGTGTAGAGCAGTGCTGGTCAGTGCGTCCCACATGGGAGGATTCCAGTCGAGTTGGCCAGACTCGTCTGTTTGATGGTTTCAACTCACTTGAACACCATTAAGATATATCATCTCAAGTAGACATGATATATTAATTAAAGTAACATATAACATATAATATATGTTAAATGTTTATAATATACCATGCCGTTACTTGAGATGATAACCAGACCTTCAGCTTGTGGCCGAACTGGAGATCCCAGGATTTGAGGTCACTAATAGTATAATTAGGGGGCCTGTATCCTTTTCTTGGTGCCACAAACAAACACTCCAGAAAAGAGCTCACGAGCTTGGTGTTTTAGGTCGTAGTGATGGTCACCTGTGCGGGTTCTTAGCCTCGCAACACACGGTCATGTCCGCGCATTTACCAGGTCGCCACCAGGTCGATCCTGGGCCATCCTGGGTCCTGCCCGAAAAGAGACACACAAGACCCTCAAGAATCTGGACCCGTGAGGGTACGGAGGACCCCCAAACATACACACGACATTCTTGCGACACAGGTTTCACCTCTTCCAGAATCATTCGTTGGATCATGCTGGATCCCTGTGGTCCCGGGCAAAACACAAATCTTCATCCAAGCATCGTAATGAGGTTGCGGTGGCGGAACCCTGTGCAGTTCCCATACAAGACGGCACGCTGCCAGGTGCGACAGACCCTTTCTTTTCGCGACCAGATTGATGTACACCTCGCTTTGATCTGTACAGCTTGGACCAGCCAAAGGATAAAACCTGCTGGCCTCGTCGAAATCTAATCGATGAGGAATGCCAAACCATGCATGGGATTGGACTATTTACCTATAGTGCGTTCCTTTATCAGCTTAACATCGCCTCAATGTATAGGTGAATATATTCCATGCATGGATTGTTAGGGAACGGTAGAAAGTCGAACCCGCCACAGTCGCGCGGTCTGTGGACTCTGGACCAGGCGCGGGGTCTGCTCTCCGGGAATGCTTCGTCCGTCATCGGCGTCAGAAGGTCTGCCGGGGATCAGGATCATCTGGTTTGATACCCCTCAAACCAACATCTGTTCAAGAGGATTTGCACCCCAATGTGATTCTTGGTCATTTCTTGTTTCACAATTAGAGGGTGACGATGTCTAGTCTCTGCAACACGGTTGATCCTCGTCACAAAAACCAGGGGGGGCTTGGACTTCGCCCACAGGAGAGCACGGATCTGTCCGACAAATAGCTTTGTGAGAGAAACTGGCTGATGGTCTCTCAGGCCAGCAAACCGTTGGCCATCAGCACAGCATCATGGTTTCATGTGCATTGAAACTTGAAACTGGACTGGGGCATCCTTACTGGATGTTCCCTTCAGTCGACTCGATGCCAGTGCTGGCCGAACTTGTCAGTGGACAGGAGGAACATCGTCATTCAAGGGAGCAGGGTATATATCTCAAGCTTCCCAAGAATATAGATATGCCTTTAAGGCTCACTGTGGTCAACTGCAATCTCATGGTGGACAAGTGGAGAACTGCATACCCAGCAAATGTCTTGCATTTGTACGTGTTTTTCTTTTTGGGGGACATACAGCAAGAAACATCAAGAAACTACGATATAGACTGTAATACAGCTGGCCCTACACGTGTGTCCCGGCATCGAGGCATTGAATTCTTCAGTTGCATCTCCAAGTACGCCCCCCAAGATCCGACTGCCGAAGTGAACAAACATGACACAGTTGTTCAAAACAACCGTTAAAGCAACATGTGCATTCCACGCCCCGGCTAAAGCTTCCATACCGTTTTCCGGGGGCCAAAAGGTTCTCTTTCAAGCCAACACCATCGGCTTACCAGACGACGCGAGGGGCAAGCCGAGCTTGCTTGATGCCGGAAGCTTGGAAGGACCAGGCTACGGCGCGGGCGTGTTTCGCCGCAAACCATCAGTCGGAAGGTGAGTGAATGCCTTGAAAGGATCCGTCAAAGAGCAGTTTTGGAGCTCCAGCCGCTGAATTTTTCTGTGTGTTGTTGATGTTGAAATGCATCTATATGTCTGCTGTAGTAAAGCTATACTGCAGAAGCCTGCAGAAGCCAGGCTTGCATGAAAAACGGCTCGGTATTAGACGAGACCTAGTGCCTCATCCTCAGCGGCACGAGACGAGACCATCTCCGGCTTCTTCCTCGAGCGGTGAATGCCTCGGATTCCAGCTCGAACCACTTCCTGCAGCTCAACCTGCCCACGTTTGCGAGACGTACGGAACGGGCCGGAGGATTCATCCTCGGGGCCCTCGGGGTCTGGGGGTTCTCACCGATCCTGATCGGTTTTGAGGGACCTTCAAGGAGTCGAGGATGAGGTCCCTTACTGAGGCCTGTCAAAGGTCACAAGCAAATGACTCCAGAAAACAGGTCACGAAGTGAAGCTCCTGGCGGATCTGTTGCTTGTTTTCTTCAATTTCGGTGAGACTTCAGCTTCCCCGACTGGAAGACCGGGTCGGCCCCAATTCCCGTGGCTGGGTCTGACGTCCGGCGACACGGACCCGACTTGACGACCTCGGTCAGGGCGGGGACGGGACCTGAAGAGGAGAAGAGCGTGAGCGATCCGTCCGCTAGTAGCGTCCGTCGCGTCCGCTAGTAGCGTCCGCCATCTCTTAAGATCGGCACCTGGCGCCGGCTGGCTTTAAGGGCGGGCGAAACAAAGAACGAAGAGCGAACAACCCGGGAAACACCCCTTCCCTTCAAGCGCCTCCTCCAATCGTACTCGTGGGCCACATGGTGGGCGCGGCGCCTCGCCGAAGGATTTCAAGCGCTTCTGTTCCACGGCCTTCAACAGCTTCTGGGGCCGCCTGCGAATGGCGTTCAAGGTCCTGGCGGCTGGAGCCCCCCCCCGGGCGGGGGAACCCAAAAACCGGAGCGTGGAACAACCGGGGTTTCCACCAGCTTGAAGCAGTCCAAAACCTCAAGAAACCCAGTGTTGAGATGAGAGGAAATGTTAAATGATATTTCACGTGCACTCAACACCCTCACTCAGCACTCAGTCACCACCTGCCAACATCCTAATTAGGTCTGGCCAGTTCGGAAAGCCACAATCCGTCGACTCGTGCCGTGCCCTTTTCTGCGCCTCGTCAGATTCTGTATGTGCAACTGGTGGTCGTGATAGGTGGGTGCTATGGGAACCCCGACGGGCACGTCCACCTCGCGCTGACGGAAAGACCTGGCCGTGGAACAAACAAGAACTCGACGTCAAAGCCGGTGAACAAAAACAAACAAGCCCGGCCGTGGATCCAGCGTTGTCCGCTCTGAGAGGGTGATTGGAGACACGTTTATGTCTGATCTTTGAAGCCAAGTGAGGGTCCAAATACCTTCTGAGAAGGTGGCAGTGGATTTGTAGGGTAGATCAGTGCACAGCAGTTGCTTTGCAGAGTGAGTTGAACGATATTATAAGGCTATATGATGAGTCAGTTAAACGACAAGCACGAGATTGGCCTTGCACATTCGGTTGAGTTCCATTGATTTCCCACATTGTGACGCGATTATCGGTTCCGTTAACGCTCTTTCCATTCTGTTTGGCACCAAGAGAAGGAAGACCTGAAAAAAGGACTGCTTCACATCGATTCATAGCTTGACCATGCTTGACCCCCGTACCGATGCTTTGGATACCGCTTTTTGCAGCTGAGATCACGAATACTTCTTCAAATCCTCCCACTGCGTCTTTCCGTCCTCCGAAACAAAGTTGCTCATAATGTCATGGAATTCGTCATTGGCCACCTTCCGCGAACAGGACGTCACGCGCAAAATGGTCGCGGAGGTTCGGGACGACAGCGGATCCGAGACTCCAGACACGACACATGGGACTGCCAGTCCTATGCCTTGGGGTGGTTGAAAGGGGGTCAATGGGGGCGGCATATCATGTGGCAGTCCCAAGTCCCATGTGTCGTTCTGAAAGCACTCTGAACTGAGACCGACGGAGACCCGACGGAGACCCGACTGGAGTCGGTGAAGATGGTGCACCCGGGGCCTGGCACGAAGTGAACACCTAGGACTGCGGGTTTTGGGGCCCAAACGATTTAGACTGGGGAGACCTTCCAAGTAGTCGACCTCCCTGGAAGAAGAGCAGAAACAAACCAAACACCGTTGGGCCAAGGGCGGTGAGCCTGGAGTGCGGGCTCTGCCGCTCTGCTGTTCTTCAGCGGAAGAAACACACTTCGACCTCGAATTCGATGGAAGGTCTCAATCTTTGCAGAGGCCAAGCTACTTAACCCCCATTTCCTCAGGTGCTTCGATTTCCGAAGCGGAGCCCGAAGGACAGGATCAGCTCTTCCGACGTTCCGACGCAATCTTCCGCCCCAGGCAGGATCGAACTGAACATGTGTGAACTGTGAACCGTCACAAGTTTCTATAGCAAAGCTTGCACTGGCAACGCGTTTTTTTCCTCCGATCCGCCGCACCGCATTCGAAGGCCAACGATCTCACATCCAAAAGTATTGGCACTACAACAGCTCGTTGACATGGGCCATGGCCACTTTCTACTCCACTTTGTCTACGCCCTACACTGCCACCCCCTCTGCCGCCGACTGGTGAACGATCCAACTCGCGAGGCAGCAGCCCACCTTGGCGCTTGCTCCACAACCCATGGTCTTCAAAATTCCAGCAACAGGTATTGCTGACTGGTCTTGATGCTGAAAACTCCGGAACACAAAGCTGAACAAGTTCAGCCACGGACAGCGCAGAATGTTTCCTGGCAGAAGTGATCTTATTGCCACGGACAGTTGAGGCATGGATCTTTTTGAGGCCCCTTAGCATCCTTCTTTTGGTGTCCCTAACTTAACATATGGTTCTTTACGAGGCCCGGACCGCTTGATCTCCAACCCGATGCCACTTGGAACGGGGTGTAAAACCTGCTATTGAGGCTCCTGGTGTCTTCACACGAAACCGAACAAGTCGACCAGAACGAGCTGCATGCTGGCAACTCATGGGGATGAGTCACAACTGGGAGCCCTGTTTCTGTTTTTTTTAACAAACAAATTCAAAGAAACAAACAGAGTTTTGCCCCAGAAGTCGAACCACCATAGCCTTTACCGAAGAACCATTGTTTTACTAAGGGTTTTACATTACAAAACCAGATCAACCATGTTAAACATAGTCTTTGACTTCCAGGGTTACAGCATTATACAGCTGTTATAAGTTATATTATGTTCTTTTGTTCTTCCCCTGTTGCTTAACCATCTCAGCCTTCGCTCTTTGGCCTATCCTATCCCAAAAACATAGAAAAAAACATCCCTCCCCCCAAAAAAACTGGTTCTGCTAGTGGCCATGTTCTCCTTTTCAGAACCCCCTGGCTCCATGTCCGTCACCGATCTCCGGGGCGCACGCGCTGCGCCAGGCGCGCGCCGAGGCGTTGCGCCGCGTCGCGCCCATGGAGCCACCCTCGCCGAAGACCTCGCTCGGCTGCAGCCGCGCCTGAGACATAGGGAAGCGCGCGAACGACGAAGGTCAGCAAATGAAGACCGAAGACAATCTATTTTAACTATTGTTTTGCTTATATTGTTTTATATGAAGGACCATTTTGTATGAAGACCATCTATTGTTTAGATCGTATTCTTTTGATGGTTCCATATGGATCTTGGATGATGTCGAAACAACAGGAAACACCTGCTATTACCAGGGCCCAATGGGATGATGATGGTTAGGTTCCAGGCCTTTCTCTAAACCATAGTAGTGTTTCCCTAACAAGCCATGGGAAACAGGAATCTTTGCCCCATACACTGGTGTGACGGTGTGATCCTATTCACATGTTGGAAGGGTTTCTCTCATTCTGCGGTATATATTCCAGTCCCAGGAAAAGGCTGGTAGGATGGGTTGGAATAGGGTTTATAGGGTATATATTCCAGTCCCTGTCTGTCTCATTCATTGTTGGATGGCTTTGGCTTGGGAACAGTGCTGGTCTTTGGACTTCGCTGTTTATTGGACCCATCGATCCTGTTCGTTGGAGGTGTCAACTGCAACCGGAGGACACGTCGGACGCCGAGCGTTGTGGCAGTGGGTTGGCAGTTGTGGTGACCCTGATCTCACAGCAAATGGTTGGTGGTAGCGGTAGAGATGGGGACAGGCAAAGGCGTAGGGGTAGATAGGATTGAAGAATCAAAAGGCCCTAATCAGTGTTCTTGTGAATGTTCATCATGTTGTTCCTTGTCAAACTAGAAAACAACATTGACATTATACAATTGTCTGCTGCAGATTAGTGTGGTGCCTGGCTATGTCAAGCTGGCTTCTAAAAAAAATATGCCCCAAACACAGAAATCAAACAACGTATATACGTCAATGGAGAGACTCTTATTTGGGTCCCTGAAGAAGTTAGGAAAGGAAGTTTGAGGTCCTTGGTGATTGAATTCTCTCTTTTTCATGGTCATTTAGGGGCGGTTTGCAAAGGTCCTTGCAAATCAACATATTGATAGTCCTGAACAAAACAAATGTCCTTTGCATTCCTTTGCTTTAACTGAATCATGTGAAATCTAAGCATACTAGCTGCTCCCAAAGTTGACCTACTACTTGACGCATCTTTATGCCAAATGTCAACCAGGGAGCTGCAAAGCAATGTAAAGCATGAGGCTTTTGAACATGGCTCACCTCCTCCATTGTCTTGAAGGTTGGAAACCCGCATAAAAAAAACACATGCTTTTGGCCATCAGATTGGAATCCTCCTTAAGCGCTGAAGAAAAGGACTCTATGAGGTGCTATCGTAAACACCTGCTTGAATGCCAACCGAGTGCAAACATGTGCAAACGCCTTTTTTTTTCAACATTGAAATTAGTACGTGTTATGTTCATGCGGTGTCTGTCAATGGGCCTGGAGAACAACCTGTTCAAACCAAAGCTGTTTGATTTCTTGCATTGGTCAAAAGAAACACCATCTGCAACTCGTGAGATAATGGAGGCCGGCCGTGACCTATGAAGAAAAAGGTTCTCTACGTGTACACATGGACCATGAACCTGTGACCAAAATCAAACAAAAAACAAAAAACAAACTCAGGATCCCGAGATTGACGATATTTGGGAGTACCCTGTCGTGAAGAAAAGGGAACGCAACGACTAGACCTGATTGATTCCTTTTGAATTTTACGAGGTTTTATCTTCATTTTTACACCGTCCCAAACCATCCATGTAGGAATGGTTACCTGGTATAATGTTACCAACATTATAGCATTCCATACATGAGTGTCCGCGCGACATTTGGAATGTGTGAATCAGCGCCCGGCGATTGCCTCCACAACACCCAAGTCTGTCTCAATGTCCACTTCCCCAGCCAACAGCACATACATGTCACCTGGCGACCAAGTGAAGCAGCACTATGCAGCTTTGAACAGGAGCAGTTGCCAAAAGCATTCAGGTGGGACATTCAGGTGGCCTGAAAAGTCTGAATACCGAAGAGGTGGCTTTTTCCGAGCCCTGGGTTTTATATCCGCCGACCCCAGCCGATGGCGGGGGAGCGCGTCAGAGAACAATGCTGCATCCGGCTGCGTGTATTGGGAGTGAGCCTCTGGAGGTCCACCTGCCGTCGGAAAGCACGGCTTCTGGAAGCGGACAAGAAGAGAAAGCACGGGTTCTGGAAGAGGACTAGAAGATGATTTTATTGCTGTCAGAAAGCAACGGTTGGCAGTGAGAGAGCCGCTCCGAGGACGAATTTTTGGTCGTTATTTGTGTGGACTAAGATAGTGGAAAGGCATGGCGGGACAGCTCCATCCTGCGGTCAGAAAGCACGGCTTTTGGAAGCGGACTGAAAGAGGAGAAAGAGGAGATTTTTATTGCCGTCAGAAAGCAACGTTTGGAAGTGAGAGAGCAGGGTAGACTTAGAGACTTAGAGGGTGGAAAGCTGTGGCGCGGGAGATAGGCGGGAGCTCTGAGAGCAAGTCCGAGGACGTAGTTTGAGTCGTTGGTGGTGTGGACATCGGTCGAGGCCGGGGGGGCATAGACACGCGAGCTATTGGTCTAGTTGCTTCACCGTCCAGCTATAGCAGCGGCAAGGATCACCATTGGTGTGTGTTGTATTTGAAGTCGACCCACCTCCTTCGTGGAGAACACCACCGTCCCACACTTCGGACATGCATGGGCGTGTTTGCGCCCTTGCACTATGCCGTCGGAAACACGGAACTGGTTGCCGCAGACAGACAGGGCGATGGTCGATCCGGCCGGTGTGGATTGAACTATGCGTCTGTTGGGAGCAGAATGGGCAAACGTATAAATTGGTAGGAAGGCGTCCCTTCGAATGGAGCAGTGCTGGACGAGGTGGGTGGCGGCGCAGCGGTCTTCTGGGTGGGCAGCGTCGGGGTATTTGCGTGGCTCTGTGGGCGGACAGACATAGACGCCTGCCACGCCGGATCTGCGCGTGCACATCGGCGACCATACCTCGTCGTTGGGCCTCCGCCAGGCGTTGACGCGTATGAGCCAGGCGGGCAACAAGCGATCAAAACAAGTCCGAAGGATCAGGTCCGCGAGCTTCACCGGTGCACCAACCAGGTATTTGAAAATCAGCCTTGGCTTTTCTAGAATTGGTTTCATTAGACCACAAGCACACTCATTTTTAATCCCGAGTACCTATTAAAAAACACTCCCCAATTAAAAAACACCACGTCCGAACCCCTAAATTCGGTTTATATTTGGTTTTAAATTGTCGCCCTTTCAAACCGCTACTAAACTACCAACATTGCCGACTTTGGAGGAGTTTTTTATTAGGTTCCAAAAACAACCGTAACTGCCCACCTCTGTCCGCCCTGTCTATCCACCATGACACGCCGCGCTTACACCAGCAGGCTTTCCTTCCCCCAATGGCACGGACTCACGCAAACGCACTTGCCACGGAGGTCACGCAACACCGCATGGCACAGCGACATCACCTTTCGAAAGCTTTAGCTGTTAGTCTACTGAAGAACCACTATTCTAATGAAGGTTTTTGTAGGGGAAAAGGAAGACCCTTCGATTTGGAGCTTTTTTGCATTTTTGATACGAGTTTAATAAAGGATTTTATATAAAAGTTTACTGATTTACTTTTTGGTTTTGAAGCTCTTCCCAGATGACCTATTTTGGACACCCCGATTTCAGGGACCCCCTATTAGAAAAAATGCGACCGATGTTTTTTTAAGGGGGGGGGGGCCGTGTTTATTATTAGGGGGACCGGATTAACTGTCGCACTTGTGCAGCGCGTCTCTTGTAAAACAGTGTGAAACAGAGTGTGAAATGTATATTGTCAGCTCCAGCATCATTCCTGTGGCTTTTTGTCTGGATTTTTTTCCGCAGATCTCTGCTCTTTCATCTTGTCTTTACGCTTGGCTTTACGTGCTTCCATAGCTGCCTCACTGCGCCGGCGGGGCTTGTTCAAGTTGTCAATATGGAACACAAGAGGAAAATGAGCATCCCCACATGAAGGTCTGTCTCCAAGGTCAGCAGCAGTCAACCGACCAGGGCCTTTTGAAATGCGCACAATCCAAGGGGGCGACTCGGGGTACGACACAACGAAAGCAACTTGGCAGTCGCTCTTTTTGCTTGGTTCCATCACCTGGAATGTTATGTTCTTGCCGGTCTTCTGAATGGCATTGCGGAGGGCTTCTACAAGACTTCCATTATTTCATGCTTGGTTGGCACCCCCACCAATCAAGGATACTTCGTGCTCCAGAGCGTTCTGGAACATTTCACTCAAAACGTGTTTGGCCACCTCGGTCTTCTCAAAACGCTTCGACTGCACTCTCTGCAAAACAAAAGCTTAGGTTGAACAGCTTCCAAGTCCTTCCCTACAGAGCTCCTACTCTTAAGCTTAAAAACGTGTTCAACTGCAGTTCCACATGCATCACACGGACAACTCTGGCTTCGGTCTTCGATCCAAGGCTGGCGCCCGCGTTCGACGAACGAGTTACGGTGAGCAACCCACAAGATACAGCTGCGGCATTCGACATGTCTGCACTCTAGTCTTACACCTCGATCTGACCTCGTACCTGGTGGATGTAGTGCGATAGGCTGTACGTGCTTTGGATCTTGACCTGGC